GGCAGAGTTAAGACTGGGTTTCACAGTATAGCTTTGGCTGGCCTAGAGTTCACTGTGTAGACCAGGCTGGCCCCAAACTCAGCAATATGTTTACTTCTGCCTCCTAAATGCAGGGATTAAAAGCATGTGTCTCTACATTCAGCTTTTCTTAACTTTTTAACGTGTGTGTGTGTGTGTGTGTGTGTGTGTGTGTGTGTGTGTGTGTGTGTGTGTGTGTGTGTGTGTGTGTGTGTGTTTAAAAAGAAACGGAAGTCAGAGGACAGTTTGAGAGAGTTAGTTCTCTCTACCATGTGGGCTCCAGGGCTCAAACCCAGATTGCTAGGCTTGCTAATAAACACTTTTACTTGATGAGCCAACTCACCAGCCCCTTTTTCTGTATCCTAAATATATCATGGGGGGAATTTTCAGATTCTCTAGAGCTACAAAAATAATCAAAACTGAGCTGGGCAGGGGTAGGGCACACCTTTAATCCCAGCACTGGGAGGCAAAGGCAGGAAGATCTCTGTGAGATTGAGGCCAGCCTAGTCTCCAAAGCAAGTTCCAAGAAAGGCACAAAGCTACACAGAGAAACCCTGTCTCGAAAAACCACCGCCGCCCAGCCTAAAATTGGCTATCTTAAGAAGAAGGAAAATGGTGTTTCATTACATGTGGGGCCTTCTTCTGAAGGAATGACAAACTTAAGAGAATGAGTTAAAGTCCTCATTACTAAGGAGATGAGTGCACAATCAAACATTGATTTGATAGTGTCTCATCATGTATCCTGGGCTAGCCTCCGACTCCTGACACTCTTGCCTCCATCTCCTGAGTGCTAGAATTACAGGGCTGTGCCATGGTGTCGAGGATGGATCTTTTTAGATTGTCAGAGTAAGAGTATTTTTCTTGGGCTGGCAGATAGCTCCATGGGTAAAGTGCTTTCTCTATAATCTTAAGGACCTGAGTTCAGATCCTCAGCATCATTCAAAATCTGGGTGTAGTGGCACATATGCATTACCACAGTGGGGTGGGGGTAGGAATGATCTATGTGTCTGTCATTCTAGTGGTTGGAAGTGAAGGCAGAAGAATCAGGTGTTCAAGGCCATCCTTGAGT